GTGCGAAGCACTCTCGGCAGATCAGTCTGCTTACTTGCATGTGTCAGAATAGCAACAGAAATGGATTCCCGTGGGCAATGGAAAATAAGCTTTGCACTTGGAAAATAAAATAGTAATAACCACATGGTAAAACTGCAGATGCATGTGATAAATTAGATTTATCATCAGTCTTATACCATTCACACCTGAAATTTGCCCATAAATCCACCTCATTTGAGGCTTATTTAATGTTTCTTCTGCCCCGGAGGTAGAGATTCAATTTACCTAAGAACTGACAAGGGTGAAGAAAGAAAATCGTTTCCTTCTTTCCCTACAAAATCTGCAACTTCCTTGTCAAACATACACTAGTTTGAGTCCCAAGATGGGTACATTTCCACCCCCGATCACTTCACATTTTAACTTTTGATACTTTGCAAACATGAAGCAATAAGAAGCTAGGAAGAGGGCCTGAAGAAAGAAAAGATTTCTCAAATATCTAATATAATATACAGCACTGCCAGTTAATTATACTAGGATCTGTATATGCATTTATTACTGAAGTATATATTTATACTATTTCTACTTCAGGTAAATCTAATAGATGCACATTTAATACATATGCCCATGTATATTTTTTCACATATTTTATATTTACAAGAGGTGGCGAAGCTTTGCTTTCAACAGGTGCCTCTCAGTGTGCCAATACAAATAAAATTATCCTTGGTTTTCCAAGTCTGTGCTGGTAAAAGACCAAGACCACTTTGAAATACTGCATGAATAAAAATACAGAAGGATGGGAGAAGAGCGTGGACAGAGAAATAAACAGTAAGGGGGTTTGGTTGCTGACTCTGCTAGTAATGAATGGGACTAAAGAAAATTAACAGACTGTTCCCTCCCATTACTCCACTGGAAATACAGGGTGGGTAGAGGGGTATGCTTAGATCATAATTTCTTTGTAGTCCCATTTTTCCATACTTTTAGAGCACGTATATTGTGCTTTGAAAGAAAAGACAGTAGATGGTAGGACTAGATGATCTTCATAGGTCCTTTCCAATCGTAACCATTCTGCAATCCTATGCTACAACATCACTGCCAAAACAATGGGGCAATTTTCAAAAAGACATCATACAACAGGTAAACCTGGAATTTCCCACCAAAAGGTACAGGAATATGCCAAAAACACACATTATGCTTTACCGTACACATCACTGAGGAAAGCTGCCATCCTTGCTGTACTGCAGTGAGTCCATCGGAAGTGTACACGAACATTTCTCCGCCTATGCCAGGTTCACTTGCCAAGTGCTTGAAAGAAAGAGGCTAATAAGAGACAACACCATTTGGTTCCCATGAGCTGCCATCCTTCCTCCAGGGCTCTGAAGACCCCAGGATTTAAACAGCTGGTCCTTTCCTTTTCTTTTTTGAGGTTTTATTATAGCAGAGAGGCAGCAGATTGCTTATATTCCATTTTTCTCGGACTCTTTTTGAAGTGTGAATGAGCATGTGTGCATGTTGAAGTGATAACATAAGGCTAAGACACATTTCTAGTAAATATTACTTTAAATTATCCTGGAATGTAAAAGTGCACTTGTGCAAAACTATCTGCCCAAAAAGGGAAGCAGAGCTGTAAACCATCCTGCCTGCAAGTTGAGCATGTCGGCAGGAGAGACGCTGTATAAGGGCATGTTTACAGGTCACGTAAGCCTGTATCTACGCTGAAACTCATGCCCTAAAACACAGAACATGCATGCACTCAATTGCAACAACCTCCCCTATGCGGGCCTTTACATCATGGCAGGAGACCAGCTGAGACCCTGTGGTCAGAGGAGACCAGATTCCTGGGTGAATTTAAGCCTTTTTATGTTTGTCCTATGGGTAGAGGCGTGGAAAGCAAGGAGCAGCCTCTCACCTGTGACCGAGTGTGTGAGCACTGTGAACCTCATCCACCTTCAAGGTGGATTTAAGCCAGTCTCTCATTTTTGACTCACTCCAGCAGTGACAGGCAAGACATGGTCCAAACTCAGGTCCTGACCTCCCCTCAGCTGAGATGCAGTGGACCATGCAAGTCCTTTTTACCTGTTTCAGAACAAAATCAAGAAGCTGCTTAAAGGGCTCTGCTTCTGAACACAGCAAGGGCAGCCAGACCCAGGAACATCTGTGACAGCCACATAAACCTGCGCATTGACAGCAGTAACGACATGTGGGTAATTATCAGTAAGGCTGATGCTATGGTTAAATCCATAAGCAGAAGGAAATGAAGAATTAAGGTACAAAACAGCTGTTTCTCTTTCACCCACAGGAGCAATTTAGTGATGGAAGCCTGTGATGCTGACAGAGAGGGAGGCACAACTGAGCTGGGCAACAAGGCTGATGGCATCCCTGAATCGGGTGACACTGCTGTATAACCTCTGGCAAATCCCTAACTCTCCCAAGTTTTGGGCCCCCTTTTGTTCAAGTCTCTCTTTATTAAATCTGTAAGACAGTAACAGTGTCGCTTGACTTGGTCATTGCCCTGCTTTACCGGGCCCCTTATTTTGGCTGGAACTGCTACTGTAGTGCGGATAAGCAAAACAAAAATGTGAAGTTTTGGAAGTTGTGACTTTTGGGGACATAAATGCACATTGTGCATTTCCCTGCAGAGCTGGGATCTTGCAGTGACACAAGACTTACTGCTGCACCTCTTTCCTTTGGGCAAGTCTGATTTTGGAAGTGAAGTTTCATTATTGGGAGTGGGAAGGGAATAATTCTGCAATAAACAGAGAGACAGCCACCAGAAACGGTAAAGCTTTTGGTCAGATTCTTGGGTGGAACACACATAAAAGCAAATGGAGGCAGTGTAGACCCTGCAACCCTACAGTCATTGGGAAAACAGTGAGGCTCAAGAACAAGGAATATGTCTGGGGTTGACGAGGGAATAAATCACTGAACTGGAATCTGAAATGCTAGGCTCTTCTGTTCAACATACCACTTAAGCATCCCCAGCCTCCATCAGATGCCCTGCATACCATACCAGGCTGAATTCGACCATATGTTTGTAGCTAAGCTATGAAATTCATTTGTCAAGTCCCGGGAGGTTTTGGCAAGTTGTCCTGTACTATATGTGTGGTCTGCTACACACTAAAACAGGCGTGCAGAGCATCGCAGTGGGTATGTCTATAAGATCCGGAGGCACCACAGCCGACAATTTCCCTGCTCTGACTTTTAGTGCTGTGTAATAATGAATGGAGATAGAAAGGACTCAAGTTGAAGATGTTTCGGCACAGTTGCTAGGCTTAAAGCCTGCTGAAGGCTGCTGGAATGAGCTATAAATACATATCTGAGCTCCACGCCAACTGTGTAAACTCAGAAGCTGCCTGCTTCATTCAGGGACTTTATACCCACCGGAAAGTCCGGAGGCTGTTCATCTAGAGGCAAGTCAGTGGCTGGCAAGGGTCAGATTTTCCCTGTGAAAGGGGACGTGGAAGACGCTAGAACAACGCAGGGGTGGATGACGGATAGGAAATGATTTCTTGGGTGTTTTGAAAAGAAACACATAATCCGGAGTTATGGGCCCTCATTAATCAGGCGTAGGAGTCCTGAGGTGCCAAATCTTGCAAGAACAGCCGGAGGACTTGAAATCATTCGTAAGCTCTTCCTAACTGAACCCTTGGCATGACGTTTGCCCAAATTCTAGATCCCAATTCAAATATCACCACCTTGGCCTACGAACAGTTGCCTAGTGGCTCTAATTCAAGCTGATTCACAACAAAAGATAAATCTTTCTGCTCCTAAAAGAAAGCAAAAGGCTGCCGAGAAATTCTTTAATTCCTCTGCCTAGTGGAATCTTGGGCCGGTAGTTTTTGCAGCAAGAAGAGGTCAGTCCCATTTCTTCACCTCCTGAACCCACATCCCTCTTCCCTGCTGTGTGGGTTGTTACGGGAAGTCCTGCCACCATATTTTTTTAATACAGCAAGCACTGCAGAAAGAAGGCAGAACTGTCAGATAGAGGCTTCATTAAAGTTTTTTTTTATATAGCATGAAGGTGTAATTTTAACAGAGATTATTAGGCTGCATGACAGGAAAAAGCCAAGTTCTCTCTCAGCCTAGCAAGATCATCTCATCTTCAGAAGGAACTTCAGCTCATGAAGGTCAGCAGGTACCATCTAACCTTTTCCACGGTGAAAACAAGACTCAGTAAATTACTGTTAAATGGAGAAGTGCTGTGATTTGCACCCCAGTGACAATGCGAAGCCAACTCTAAGGCTGCATGCTGACACCTGTGGTCCCCCAGCAATAAAGCTGCCCCTTAAGCTGGATCCTTGGAGACTCTTTTCAGTTCTTCTAAGATGTATAAACTCAAGCAGCCCACACCTTGACAGCCTGCACATTGGGGGCTAGATTGAGTCCTCCTCATGAATGCCAGACTACCTCCGTTTCAGCAGATGGCAGATGACACAGGCACTCAGCACTCCTTGTCTTCCAACCCCAACACTGTATCCAACCTTCAGGCTCCAGAGGATGAATCAAACTCCTCTGTGAAAGCAACATCCTGGCAAAACCAACCACAGCTTCTCACAGGTAATTTGGAACACATCCATGTTTCAAATCTGCCCACTAAACCAGCCAGAAAATCACAATAGTTCCATCCAGGAAGGATTTATCCATAACACATAAAATGCATTTCGCCACTTCGGCATTGGGAAAAGTGGGAAAGCAGCAGATGAGATAAACAGAAAGTTTTACAAGGTATATGCCACACTGCAGACTATGCTCTGATAGAGCAGCACCTCCAAGCAGAAATCCACTTACTTACAGACGGCTTCTAGTGCTATACTGTTGCGGTTGTTCTCCACCTCCCACTCGTGTTATATTTATGTGCTAAGTTTCAAACTCCCACTGATCCACGCTGTGAGATGCTCTGGGGAGGAACAGCGGCCGTTTCCCTGCGCCTCTCCCAGCCCAGAGAGGGTGACAGGCAGCATCAGGCTGGCCTTTCACCAGGGACGGCTCAGCATCATCCTGTGCGTTTGGACCCAGGTACTCACCTAAGAGCTGCACTCCGCGGGTGAGTCCGTAGACGTCGATCAAAGCCCAGAGGGGCTCTGCCGTCCTCACCCCACTGAAGAAGAGCATCGCAGCAGAGTCGTTCACTCGATAGAAAACCCGTCCCTTCTTGTCCACCCAGAAGGCTATGATGTTTCCCTCATTCGCAAACTCTTCTGGCAGAGCCTTGGCCCAAAAACCGCTTTGGGAAACCAAGTCAGGGCATGCGTACTTCGGCAGAGTGTCGGGGTTAATCCTCGATGGATCCTTGGAAGTGAACCCCAGTCGAAGAGCCCCACTCCAGCAACACTGCTTTTTAGTGATCTGCAAAGATAACAGCAGCAATAACAGCATTTGGCACTTGAACATCTACTTACACGCTACAGGCTCTATGCCATCGAGCACCAACAGTCACCACGCAGATGAGCCCATTAGATTTAGGAAACATTTTACCCACCAAACACTGCTGTAGCTTTTTCAGCTGCAAGCAGTAATGCTGCACACTTAGGATACAACACACATATTTAAAAAAAAAAAAAAAATCTATGTGAAGAGGTGAAATGTAATTACAGCTGTATGATGACTCACTTCTATTTCTAGGGTAATTCCTTTTGGCCTAAGAGTCACCCTGTCGCAAAATGTACCAAAAAAAATGGCCATAAGAGCTTTTATTGCAGCACCTGAAGCATCAGTGATCTTCCTCTGTGGTGCTCAGATGATGGGATCTCCCATGACCTGAGGGAAAAGCACTGGCTCCAGAATAACAGTCACCACCATAGGGTTTTCTGGGTTTCCCAGCCAAGGAAAAGACAGTCCTACCCCTGTTTAGCTTGTCAGACTGGACGAAATCGCAGCTCTGCAGCAGAGAACTTGTGTGTGGGAAATCATGATTTAACTATATTAAATACACAATTAGGCGGAAATGATAGATGTTGTCTTATGATTGGGGAAAACCCATTTATTTCAGCTGTGAGTGGTGTTTTTCAAGATATGTTACGCACATCTACACCCCGCCAGTCAGTATGAGGTTACTCAGCGTGCCTGGGGTCAGGAACATCTGCTACAGTTGTTGAGAGGGTGCATGTGTCATATCCACCCTTCTGCACCTGAGAGACAGCAGGACAAAGAACCACAGATGCCTCCAGAGTCATTGGCTTCTTCTCACATGAACTGAGCCCTGGACTTAAGGAGATCCAAGGGGAGCAGGCAGCAGGTCCTAAACATGTGCAGCACATCTGAAACACCACTCAGTTACAAGGTCTCTTTCTTCCCATGGAAGCAGGGAGTCTTCCAGGGTTAGTAGGGTCCCCAGATGGAGATGATGTCCTTGAAGAATTTCTTCTCTCATTTTTTTGTTCGAGTATGAACTTGCTGGGAATTATTCCTCTCAAAGGGATTCAGCCTGTCAGCATCCAGACTATGAAAGACCCAAGGATGCTGGATCCAATCCTGATGCGGGGCCAGGACAGTTCCAGCACGCCAGCTGACACATAATTGGTGTTTCTGTTGATGCCCTGAACCTGCAGTAAACATGACCGCACTCAAGATAGCCCTCTTCCATCGAAGCCTTGGCAGCCTCAAGCAGTTTCACTCTTGGCTGCAGGACAAGGGCAGAAACACAGATAGGTACCACAGATCAGATGTCATACAAAACTTGCTACCTTACTGTAATTTCTCCCTCTGTCAAAGTGCTGATGGCTCAGATGTGTCGCTACGCCAGAGACTGAACTGTCCAGGACTGGGGGACTTTGTTCTCAAAAGCCTGGCAGCGGCTCCTCGTGTCCCAGCTAGGAAGCCAACAGCACAGGATTTTCACCAAGGGATTCTCCAAGACATTTTCTTTGGACTTGTGAATTCTCTTCTAATCACATTTGTAAATATTGCATTTTTCTTTCACATGTTCCTCTCCAAGGAAAATCTAGAATGTGTGCCCTTGGGGGCACAACAATCTCACAACAAAGATGTTGTTCAAAGCCTGGAGATAATTGAAGCACCAGAGAGAATAACTCAGAGCTTCAGAAAAATGCTTATCAGTTAAGCGAACACTGCTCTTTATCCCTACTCAGTCCAGCCAAGCACTGAAACTGTTTACATGAAACACTTGAGCACTGACCTCAGTCCCAGGAATCATGGGAAGCTCCCACTTGCGGGATGGACACTGGGGTGGCACTAAAAAAGACTGAAGCAGATTTGCTATTTCATATGCCTGGCCAGGATGGGATGGGACCATGCATATCCCCAGTGGAAGGGGGAAGGATGGGGCATGCATGTGCCAAAACAGGGAATATATGCATACTCCAAGCAGCAGCCTGGATTATTTATTGCAGCAAATTTACTGCAAGCCCTAAAAGCTTTTGGGTCTGAGATAAATATGGCCTCATTGTTATTCGCACAATTTACTCTTTCACAGTCTCTTGCCAATACTTCACAGCAATCACAGGCCGCATGGAGTAAATATTCATATGGTAATCGAGGCTGCACATGTTCCATGTATTAATCAGCACCTATAAACAGTTCTCAATACAGTCTGACCACAGGCAAACTAATATCCAAATTAAAATCTAGTATAAAGCCTGCCAAGAATTAGACACAGCTGGACAAAGGGTACACAGTTTTGCTAAAAAAGGCAATGGTTAATGATGGACCAAATTCTCTCTTCAGAAGAGCAGCCACTGCTAGCAAAAAAGCTTGGGAGGTCCACTGGGTACCAGAAGGGGAGGAAAAGACACAATCTACATACAAACTGTGAAGCCGTGGCTGCTTTCACAGACGCAGGCTCCTGCTCTTGTGCCACCTTTGACAACCTCACCCCGCTCCCCAGCGGTGCCCCGAGTTACACAGAAGAAACCTTACTGGGACACATATCTTGCGGGTAAAGAAAGAGGAAATTTTCCCAAACCCCACACAGCTCTGACTGCCTGACAGCATTCCCAAAGCTGCAAAGAAATCTCAGAATAAAATCCACGATACAACACCTAAGAAACAGAATGGTATCTCCTGACTTCTTTCTTCTGGTTTTTCGAAGGGAGTTTAGACTTCACAGGACCTGAATGTCTGGGTTCATGGTTAGTCTTTAGCTGGTGAGGAGGTTTAAGACAGCATTTTCCCCAGGCACACACAGTAACAAGGCAATCGCAGGATGGACTTATGAGAAAAGCAAAGATGTTTTCTCATTTCCATCCACTCCTTGAGTGCTGAAGCCTGTTGATTATTCCCACGGCACCTTCCCATTGGACTCAGCAGGAGCTCTGCTCATAAATCCCTTGCGCAGAAATAAAAGATTTGCATGCATATTCCTCACATATGTTATGCAAGCTAAAATCCTAAAATATACAGTAATAAACAAGCGCGAATTTCCTGAGATAACAACATTGTTTCAGAATGAGGAAGGAATAGCCCAGAACCTTCGCCTAAGCCACTAAACCCACTCAAATCTTTGATGGTGTTTTCAAAAATGAAATGCTGCTTTCATCTCCTCCCAAATAATTTTTTTGCAGTTGTTTGTCCAAACTGCTTGCCAACACTGAAAAAAATCCCATCAGGCAACGTGAGGGAGTCCTGCTGGGTTTCTAGCCTGAATGGAAGCGGTAAGAGCTCCACAGGAAACATAACAAACCTGTAGGAGGGATTTTCTACCTGTGGGCCTGAGCCTGAAATCACTGAAATCCCTGTATATTTTCAAAAGGAGGCATATTCCTCATTTCTTGCTCCTTTGCTGGCTGTGAGGGAAGAGGCAGGGAAGGCTGACACACTGCTGTATGTCCCAGCACTCTGGGACCTCTAGCAATGGGCAGCAGTGGGATCACTCAGACTCAGTAGCTACACACAGATAAACCTCCTGGAAAAATCCTTGTGCATAAATGAAGGATTTGCAGGCAGATCTTTCATGTGTGCCACGAACTAAAGTCTGCCAAAGAAGATGACCTACTTTGTGCCAATGAAATGCACAGAATCAGCTAAGAACAGAAAAATGCAGTCCAACAAACTAGAGGGCATAAAGATTGGAAAATATCTGTGGATAAAGTGCAAGGGGCCTCAAGCTCCTTCAGGGTGCTGACAGCCTAAAAAGCGCTCCAATTCCTAAGGGGACTGATGAATTTCGTCATCGGGAAGCAGCTCCCTGTGCACATGGAGGCTGAACTTCCCACGCCGGCTGCAGCACAAGGGGGACCAACTCCATCTTCTTGGCTACCACAGACACAAAGGAAGTGAAATCAGCCTCTGCCGGTGAGAATGTGATGACTGCAATGTTCTCTCCTCTGACCTTAATGCTATCAGGTAAGTGATTCCACAAAGCAGTCAGCAGATCGCCAGAAAGATCCTTTCCTCAGACAGCAAGTGTGACACCGCACTGACTGCTCCTTTCATCCTTTCAGCTAAACCCTTTTATCTTCCCTGCCAAGCACACCAGCAAGCACCATCTCTTCCAGGTCCTTTTTGCTTGCCTTTTCACCTCTTATCTGTTGGCTGAGGAGAGGCTGACTCCCACCGCCATGAGACCAGCCCTCATTGCTGCCTTGTTTACAGGAAGAAAAGGGTTTGGTGTGGAACCGAACACGTTAACTAACTCCTCTGCACGCAAAGCCTAGAGGACACATCGGCTAGAGAGACACTGAGGCTGCTGCCTTTCAGGCTGACCAATACAGCCCTTTTTTCTTGCCATTTTCCAAGCTATCCCAATGTAATCTGGGGTTCCTTGTCTAACATCCAGATAAGCTCTTTTCTTCCCAGTTTCTATAGAGGCCTGTACCAATGGCTCTAAGAACTACAATGACAAAAGCAGAAGTACCAACAAAGATTGCAGATCTGTAAGGCCAAGATCGGACTACTGTGCTAACGACCTTCAACACCCCAACATTCAACCACAGCATCTCCCACGGCAATAAGGGAAGGTATTGCTTACTTACCTTAAGCCTGACTTGTTCATAAATAATGATGGGCCTGTTGCTGAAGGTAATGGCGTTGCAGAAGCTAGCCTGGCGCTTCACTGCCTTCTGCGTCGTGTCCATGATGATTTGGGATCCCTTCGTGTGGGGATGGAAAAGCAGAGGGCTGATGGACAGAGCTCCACATTGTGGGATGGGGAGACAGTGCTTCTGTTTGTGGTGGCATCGGTGGGAGGAAGCCGAAAATGACCCACCTATGGAATCTAAAAGGAGAATGGAGAAAAAAGAAAAAGGGCTTCAAATCTGCTGTGAATAGTAAGTAAAAAAACTTTCAATGCAAAACAAAAGCAGGGGTACTTCAGAGGGGAACTATAGATCAAAATAAAAGTTAGCCAAATCCCCTCTCTATAAATCACTAAGGGTTTCTAGAGCATCTTGAACAGTAAGAGGCCACATGGATACAGAAGGCTCCTGTCTGGACAGTCTCATCGTACAGAGCACGACATGGAGAACACAGCTCAGCACTGAAATCACAGGCCATTTTGAGGCTACGCACCAGAAGAAAAGGCAAGAATTGGTTCCAAAACTGAAGCAAAGCATGTGTGAAGTTGCTGTATCAAAGCTGTCATATTTAGGGAAAATCTTCCACTCCTAGAAGACTCCCACACAACTTGACCATTTCACTCACTCCTCCTTGGCAACAGAAACTCCATGGACCCTTGCCTCCACGTGTCCTATCCACCCTTGCTATGTGCCAGCTCAGACACATACACTGCTAAACTCAAGTACCACTCAGCGATAACCCACCTGGATTCCTCCACCAACCACCATCCATTCTCCTCTCTTCTCCACTGATGGGAACCCCAGCTGAGATCCCACTTGTTGTGAAGGCATTGATCAGCACGCTATGATTACGGTGAGGAAAGCGAAGAGGGAGAAAGGCTATGAAGCAGGGAGGAGATTACGTCTTTCTCTAACGACAGCCCTACACAAAGAGTCAACGCACGATCTACGCAGTCAGGACAGCAGCTTTGTTCATGAATGAATGGATGGATGGATGGATGCGTGAGTTTCTTTTCAACAGGGAGCCTGCAGCAGTTCAAGCACAAAACAATCATTATACTGAACACAAGTCATCTGCTTCCTTTTCCTTGTGTGCACATACACACTACATTATGCACATATGTTTGGGAGGAGATACTCATAGATTTGGAAACAGAGTATCAACAGAATAAAGGATTATTCCGTGACAGACCCAGGGATGCAACAAAAGCAAATATGACCTTAACAATGTGCCAGTTTGCGCTGTAAAGATGCATGACTAAACAGTATGGTTAAAAACTCTATTCCTCAAATATACAAACTATAGAATCTAATTATACACATTCTTCACACAAATTAATTGCTGACAGTTATGTCTTTATATAGCTGCTGCAAAATAATGCTTACACCTCTAATGTAATTCTTGGCTTTGCAATAAAAAGCCTGACCCCCATTCCTCCCAGCCTTTGGGCTAGTTTTAGCTTGTAGCTATGTGAAGCTGTAATGGCACATCATAAGGGTGAGCCTGAATAACTACCAACAGAATTTAAAATCCTGGTTTCTGATGAGAACATTTTAATTCAACTTCAGCATTGGTCATTCCGGCCTTCTCCTCTCAACTCCTTCCTGGTTTGGGGTTTTTTTTGCGTTTTCAGCAGCAGCGCTATCCCTTCAGAACAGAGCAGGGAGGCCACACAAACAGGACTTTAAAAACTTTCATTAATGCTTTAAGGGAGAGATGAACCAACTGGGAGTTATTTGATGCTAAAATTATGTGGAATGTAAGTCATCTTCCTTCTCCTGTTCCTCACACATGAAGGAAGAGGAATAATGTGCAGAGTACCAAGAAAAAGTAGAGTTTCACCTGAGCAGGCAGGTTGGAGAGGGAAACATTCAGGAGGAACAGACTGCATGGAAAGGGCAGTTTGACCTGGGAAGGTCAGGATGCAGCAGCTCACATAAACCTGATCTTTTCCCACACTACCAACCTGGGGCAGTGCACCCTGCCTCTCCCCACAGCCCAGACTGGGCGGTCAGAAGACAATGTAAGCTGCAGCAGCCCCATGTAGAGAACCTTCTGAGGTTACCTCCTAAAACCTGTTTAATTAGAGGCTGTCATGCCCCAAAGAACAGGAGGTTGCATCCCTTCCCATACCACTAGCTTTTTCCAAACCAGATACGTTCTCTGTTGCCACCCCTCTGGAATCCTCTTAAGCCATCGGCTTTAGTGATACCTTGCTGATGAGTTCCTCAGGCTTAATTGCACTTTGAAAAGAAGTATTTTGTTTATCACTGCAAACATGATGCTGTTCACCGTCACAAATGGTTATGAGCCAGAGCCAGCGAAAGTGGCCGACTTAACCTTGCTCCACTTCACCTCCCCAGGTGGGTCATCCTGGTCTGTAGGGACAAGATTGTTGACAGATGGTCAAAGTAAACCATCCCAGCCTCTATTTTGGCAGAAATTTTTCAGGTCGCTGGGTCTCCCCATTGCTCGTCTCTTAGCTGTCTCTTTCTGCTATATCCCTTTTTACAAGTAGACTGACTAAAATTAAGCATCTACTATAAAAACTTTCATTCCTAACTTTTCCAGCTTCTTTAAAATATTTATGAAGTCACAGTCATTTCTGGAACAAGACAATCATTGAGGGATATAATCAATCATTAGAGATAATATAAAGTCAAAGGATCCATAGAAAAATATGAAAAACTATTTTTCTGGTAATTTCCAGTCTTGTTTTTTTCAAGACCTTTTTGGTAATTTCTAGGGGTGCGTATATGTGAAAAAAGAAGCTGCTACCAGTGAATATACATTCAATTTATGGCATCTTTGCATCCAGATCTGAATTTTGTAGTTCAAACATTTTGCTAGCAGTCACTCACCAAAACAAATTTGTGCAGCACAAAGGCGCACACATTTTAATTAGTTTGATTTAATATCTCAGTTCTCTAATTTTACTCAATAACTTGGCTGTGATTACAGTAACTGCCGCATCTCTCCATAGGACATTGCACCCTTTTAAAATGCAGTAATGGAGTCACTGAAACTGCCCAGAGCTTTCAAAACAGATTCTGGTACACCACTGCATGTGTCCAGAGCATCTGCTGGAGCATCGTTAAGGAGCTGTAGGGTCCTGCCTGACCCCACAGGAAGGATGTGAGAGGAACACTTATTTGCTGTTGACAGTTTGGCACTGCTGAGTCAAACCCATGGTCAAACCCATGGCAGACCAATGCCTGCAGGATGAGTGCCCCCTGTGCATGCAGCTGAAACGCAGGGCAACCACGATTTCCAGGAATGAAGGAAACCACCCCAGGATCAGCTTCCTCAGGTGGATAATGCAAATGGGGAGGAGACCTCCTTCTTGCTCCCAAATGCTCTGACACAGCAATGACTCCTGCATGATGAACACAGTCAGGTAAGGACCAGAAAAGGTCTTAATTTTTAAAAAGTCTATCTATTTAATAATGGAGGTTTGCCCCTTACAAAGGCTTGGAGAAGCTACAAAGCACTGGGCCAAATACAAAGGCCTTGGCTCACTTCTTCAGGGCAGCATGCCCACTCCAAAAGGTGGGGACACCAGGCAACTTCAGAGGGCAACACAAGCACCTAAGACTGGACTTAGACAAGGAAAGCGACACTTTAGAAACACAAGCTACTAAGATAAATCACTGTCCTTACTTGGCCCGCTAAAAATAAAATAAATCATCTGCTTAAAGTTTTTGTTCACACTGGGCTTGACCTGGACGCCAGCCTTCTCCCATTCCCTTGTTTAAACTACTACACATTTTGACATCCTCAGCCTTTGCTACCAGCAATACTGGTACAATACAGCTGGGGCCCTTGCAGTAGGTTTCACCTTTTTGTTTTCTTTATGTAAAATAATTGCGTGAAACTCACAAACCCAGAGTTTCAGTTGGCAAAATAAGCAAAAGTCCTCCTGATTTCACAGCAACCATGCAAGGCTCCATTAACTGAGAGTCACTCCCAGACTCCTCTCCCACAACCTGACTTATCAGTCCCCTAACAAAGGCAAAGTGAAATAATTGCTTGAAGTAAAAATTGTGAACAAATAAGTATTTGAAATAAGGCTGGAATCTGAGACCGTGTTCAAGGGCACCGCAAGTTTCCCACTCCATAACATAACACAACTTCCCCCTGACAAGCAGGAGTTGTAAAAACAAGCCACGACTACACAAACTGGTATCTTGTGACAAAAGTCACAAGAGCAAAATCACACCCGTCTGAAAACAGCATCTGTGTCAAGGGGCTACAAAGTTAGAGAAGCGCCATGGACTCTCCCATACAACTTTCCAGATTTCAGGTTGGGGGTCACAAAGAACAGCATCTGCTCACTCTTACGGTTTTAAAGATTGGCTATTTCATTTCATGCCCCATAACAGATGTTGTTTGCACCATTTCATTCGGTACTGGGTTTGAACCCTGAACACAGCCTGCCCCAATATCATGAGCTGCACCAAGGGAGCAGCAAAAGTGGTAACGTGCCACTTGCTACCCTGAGCCATGAGCACGTGGGCTGGACCTTCTGAAACATTTAGTAAGCCAGGGGGAAGGAGACCTTAACATGAACTGCAATGTGAAGCAGTCTGAACTGCTCTGCCTTCAGTGTCCCACTCCTAAGCGCATCCCTGTTTGAGAAAGCAGAATATCACCCCAGAAGTGGCACACTTCTCCCTCCATGTGTGTTAGGCGCCCCTGGTCTCTTGGATCTCAAGGCCTGAGCAGCATCCACATGCTATATAAAAGGCAGCACTGGATGTTCTCAGCTTAGCAAAATGCATCCCAAAGCCTGTTAGGGGTTTTCACCAGAAGCGCTCATGCTCAGCAAACATTAGGCATAATCTTAAAGGCTTGGGATTTCTTAAATGCTGCAAGAAATGACAGGATTTAATTTTTTTTAAATACATTCTTTCCCGTTGAAAAAATCTTGATAGGCACCTATCAGAATACTGTCAAAATTCATTTCAGGCTGAAAACTAACTGCAAGGTATTTAAGATAAACTTCTTGGTGCATGTGAAATAAGTAGCATTCAGAATTGAAAGAAAGAGAAGAGACTTCAAAACAGAGCCCAGGGACTGGCGCGAAGTAGCAAGTGGGAATGACAAATCCCTGTTCACCTGGAGAGGAGAAGTCTGGGGTTGGTGATGGAGGTACCTGTCCAGCAGGTTAGTGACAGTGAAAAGAGCAGACAGGGCAAAACACCACACTGTGAAAGGAGAAAAGGGTTTCAAAATTATGACCCTACGGAAAGAGGCTAACAGAGTGCTTTGTCTGGCAGTTGGCCTTACTGTATATGCATTTAAAAGGAAGGATTCTGAGAAGGAAGAAAAGGAATCCACGTGTGGGTGTGGGGAACACAAGGGAAGCTCTGCCCCAGGGACACATGCAGGCTGCAGTAGAAAAGCCCTAGCCCTGAAACACTACCTGCACAGCCTCTCCAAAGCTGGATGGTTACTAGCAGTACAGGGAGAAAAAAAAAAAACAACTATGAGCTGAATGCTCATAAACCTTACTGCTTTTTGAGGTGTTCCCATAATTTGGGGAATTATGACTAGTTACGCTGATCTTTCGCATTTGCTTATAAAGTTCAAAAGGAGAAAACCACAAGGAATTCGTTGTGGTAGGCTATGCAAATGGATTCTTAAAAG